AGCACCATATAAATCAATTTTTATGAGATGACTGGCATTTTTCCTTAATTACTCCTTTTAGGATAAACATTTGAAATAACATTTGATATCTTATGCTTTTCCCATCATCTAGAATACTGCTAGACTATCTCACATCCAGCTGCCTAGTTAGCACAGGCGTCTGAGCTGGTTGCTCTTTCTCATTCTCTGATTCAAAGAAGGATCTTCACGAAGAATTTTAATTCTTTTTGAAGAGATGACTTTTCTGTTACTCAGTAACCAGATGATTCAAAATTCAACTGAAGCTTTCATTTTGGCTGTTGAAGGGTTTTGGACTCCTCAACTTCCCTTTCATACTGTGACATGGAGTATAAGATAGGTTTTTCTATCTATGTTTGCCTTGGGCTTCCTGGATTTGGTGTTCTTTATGATCTAAAATGTCAAAAAGCAAAGACGTATTCATGCATATATTACTTGGATAATATATTGGCTCTAGTTTTGGCAAAGTTTTTTCTAGAACATCACAGCATGCATGGATAATGCTGAGAAACACAAGTGCTAAAACAGATAAGTACATAATTTGCCTTGGGATACATTTTCCATTGTTATGTTGTATTTGATAATGCTTTTTTGAACATTTCAATGTCTTGCTGGAGTATATTTGCCACATAAATAGAGCAGTTTGTGCAGGTAGTAAAGGAAAAACCAAGAAGCCTGGTAGCGATGGGACTGGCAAGTCTTTTCCATGGAGGCAGCAGTACCTGCCCGAGGAAGTTCTATCTGCAGGTAGTGCTTTTGCACAAGCAACACATGGAAAACAAATTGTTTACCAAAAAAAAAGTTTCCATAATTGGTATAAATATACTGCATGTGTTTACCAGCATGCCTGTGTTTATATAAAAATGAAATCTATTGCAGCCCAGAATGCAAATGCATAAGGGACAAAGTTAGAAAATCCCAGAAAATAACAAGGAAGAAGACATTTCCAGAGCTGTTTAGCAAAGCTAGGTTGGCTTAGCAGAGGGAATTATTTTATAGTGTATATATTGCTTTGTATCTTAGTAGAACTTCAGTGAGTCTCTGATTGTGTGACAGTCACCAGTCTGGCTTCCACTTTAGTAATGAAAACTTGATTTCTTCAAGGAGTTGGTTGTGGAGAATTATGTTGGCCTGTTTTTGGTATATTCTTACTTTCAAGTACGGTGCTGATTTTTCTTCTTTATGAATGAAAGTATATTTATGGTCTCTGTTACAAATAATTCTATTAACAACTTCTCAGTTCAGCAGAAAGCTAAAGGTGACTGTACTAGGTCAGCCATGGAGATTAATGACTCCAGGATAAATGCAAAGATCTCACATTGCCAGTACTTTTTGTTGTTGTTGTTGTTGAGAAATAAGAAATGGGGGGGAGGGGGGGATGAAGGGGTAACCAAGAGGCAAAGCCAATAGAAGACTATTGCTGCAGTTCTGATGCTTTGGATTGTCTGTTTATAAGAAAAGGCATCGTGTTATTACTTGAAAATTTGTATAACAACCATCAGTGTAATTTTGAACGTAGTCTTTGACATTTGTGGTACTCTGGGAGTTGCAATATTAGTTTTGTTTTGTTACTAAAGTTGGCATAAACCTTGCTATCTGAGCAGTGGGATAACAGAATAGCATAAATAACAGTATAAGTCCCTGTTTAGAAAATCTGGGATATTTTTGCCACTCATCAGGAGTGCTGATGTATCATAGAGATGACCCTGCTATTCCTCCTATATGGTTTATCTCCACAGATCAGCAGCACAGCGTTTCTACAGGTGTTATTAAATAAAGTTAGATCGAGAAACATTGTCTTGTTGTTGAAGAGCTTTCCAAGATTGGATGTACCAAAATGGCACTGGTGATCTCTTGAGATCTTTGTTTCTTAGGCCCTTATATTTTGTTCTTCACTGGTCATTCTGCTCTTAGACATTTTATTTCATTTTACTAAAAGACTCACTTTATATTAGCCCCTGTTTGAAAGTCATTACAGCACAGTGTATGGGAAGTATTCTGAGGAATTGTCCAGATTTTGTAACAATAACAAGTGTTATCAACCTAATTCATAAATTATATGCTACATAATCAAACATTTTAACCTTAACTAGTGACTTTAAAAATCAAGGAGGGGAATTTAATCAGAGTACTGCACATTTTTGTCTGACATTTAGCTGTGTATATAGTGACCATTGAGTGGTGATCGTGCTCAGGGAATTCCATCTTGCAAACAGATTTTCCGTCAATTTCCCCCCCCCCAAGAGATTGCAGAAAGTTTTTAAATCCTTTGGAATCAGTAGAGCTGAGTATTGAAACTGTGTAAACCAAAGACACATTTGTACACATTACAGTGTAACAGAAATGTCACAACAGGCTTTGCAGCTATTCCTTTGACAAAGCAGCTGAATGCTTTGACCTCTGTTGTCCACACTGAAGCACGGCAAAACTTTCCTTAATGCTGTGTGTGCTTTTCTCTTTTTCCCTCAACATTTGAGACCAGTTGGCTCTTAAGAACAGGAACAAAAATCTAGTAATGCAAAGGGAGTATATATATGTTACTGTTAAGACTGTTTGTAACATTTCAGCCAGGGGCTCATTTTAAAGCCAAGAGAATAAAATGCAATTGTAATATAGTTTTATGTCTGAATTGCTCCATTTACTTCTTTTAATATAGCAGACTACTTTTCTGTTGTATCATCTGTAATTTGCTTTATAGCATATTTTAAAAGAGAGAAAACTAAACTCCGAAAATTCTTTCTTCTGTGGTTTTCCTATTATGTTTCAAGCTATACTTTAGGTATAAACTGGACAAAGTTTCCGGCTAAGATATAATTTTTTTAGTTAAAAACTTTTCCATTATTTTTCAAAGCATTCATAGGATTACAGTATCAATTTCTTTCTGCCTGTTCTGTAGACACCGCCTCTATGTCTGTATTTCTAGCATAGAACCATGTGTTCCTGAAACAGGTTTGCTGTGGATGCCAAAGAAGAAATTGAAAAGCTGTTTCTGACCTGGAGATCCTGGGTAGAGAATAGATGATAAAAAATGGATGCAGGGCTTTCATACTGCTATCATCACCTCTTAACTACTACTAAGGAATGTTGCAGCTAAGGAATCTTTAAAATTGAAAGCATTATTTTAGTAATAGTCTGTATAGAATGGTGAAAGGCATTTTAGAAGAACAAATACTTGTATGAGTGCACCAAAGCCAAGCAGAACAGCAAACATGTTTGATACATTGAATGGATAAAGCTCTCCTTCCCACAGATTTTTGCACAGATGGTCTTGGGGCAGTGCCAGGAATGTGCAGGTGCAGCAAGCCTTCCCCAGGTCCTCATTCCCTTCAAGCAGCTCTCAGACTCACAAATCCTCAGTTTCCAATGGGGAAATGCATTGCTTTTTGCTTCTCACTAGCTAATTTATAAAGGCTTGCCAGCCAGCTAGAGCATGTGTTGTTGCTTAAAATCCCTTAAAACACTCTGTCTTACCTGGTAAAATACAGCCAACTGAAGGAAAAAAGACACGTTATAACAAGACTCAGAATTATTGCTGATTATCATTGTTTTGCTCTGTCGAAGAAGGTGATGCAGCTCTGTGATGTTGCTATAGTAGCTGCAGTTCTTCTTGAGCATCATCCTGAGATTTAAAAAGGCCATGAAGGCTACTCCAAAGACAGACAGTGATTAATGCTATATTTATACACTCAGAGATCTGGAATAAACCTCAGGAGGTTGTGTAATCCATACTTCTGCCTGAAGGCAAGGTAAACTCCACTTAAAACATTCCATACCGACATTTGTCTAACCTGATTTTAAAGCACCAGAGATGCAGGTTGAATAACATCCCTGGACAATTTGCCCCAACACTTAATCAATTTATCTTTCTCTTCTCTAGCTTTGGCTACTTCTTGCTTTTTGTCATCTGCTTTAGTCCCATAGCTTTTGCAGTGTGTTTATTTGTGAGGCGTGAGCTGAAGGTAAAATAGAGTGGTTCAGCTCTCTGAGGTTAGTTTAAAATAGGAAAATGAAGACCAAAAGAAAAGTTTATTTTGCCTCATGTTAGCCAAATGTACTCTCATTGACTTGGGAATGATTTCTAACTGCATTTCATGTGAATAAATTTGAGCAAATTCTGCTTCTGAAGCACATCGTATCAAATCATTTAGGAACTCTTTGGATGTTTACTGTGCATAAAGATACTGTTGAGAGTAACATATCATTAATTTGCATAGAGGCTTTATGTATTTTGGCATAAAATATATAGCATATCCTACAAGATAAATCCTATGAGATAATAATGTATGTGTGATGAAAATTATCTCCCCAAACATTAGTTGTTCTGTCAAAACAACATATCCAAAATCTTATGTGAAATTTGTGTTTCAATAAAATTAGAGGAGCCCATCACCAGGTCTTACAAAGGTGGTTTATGATGCTCGAAGTGTACTGTCTACAAATTAGCAAAATGTATTTTCTAGATAATGTCTAGACAGACAAAAGAGGTCTGTGCTGCAGTTTCTGATAGTCTGGTTTATGCTGGGCATGTTGGAGCTAAGGAGCATGGCAGTGGTTCTGCTCTACTTACATAGGGTGTGAGTGTTGTATGCAAAGACCCACGTACCTGTTGGTACCTGAATGCAGCATCAGTTGGCCCCTAGGACATGGTGACAGATTGTGTCGCTTGTGTCCCACTGAGGTTGTGTGTTGAGCACAGCTTGCTTAACATAAGGTGGCCACGGAACATGTTGCTTCTATTTTACCTTTTAAAATAAATATTCCTTTATGAATATTTGTATCTGTTGAATGCCTAATTGTTTTTATACATTTATCTGTACTTATTGCATGCAAGAGCGTTATACTAAAGTTTATAATTGGTGCTGGGAAAATGAATTAAGGTATTCCATGATGAAAGACTGAGACATGATTCATCCATCTGATGTGAAATATTAAGTGAAAATGCCTACAGTACACTAGGCAGAAAGAATGTATTTAATTCACTGGGAACAATCAATTAAACAACATTTCTAATTTGCATCAGTCAAAACTAAATTTGTCTTCTGTTGGTTCTAACTTTATGATCCATTTCATTCCTGAATGTATGCTGGATTTGATCTTAAAAGAGTTCCATGTGCACTATGCAGTCTGATGCAACTGAGTGCCAGATGTATGATTTTTAGCATTCTAACAAATACCATTACTTGTAAAATGATATCAGTCCTGACAGCTACTGCAAGTGGTAAGGAAATTAAACTCACTGCTACCAAAACACCTGAGCTCCAGTCCTGGTTTTAAATCTCTGGTGCCTTTAATGGTGGATATTAGAAAATGTAAAACTGGATGCATCTATATACGTGTGCTTTCTTTTTTTTTTGTATTCTTGTCATTGAAAATAATGTAATTGCACTGGCCATCTACACATTACTTCTGTATGTGACATAGTAGTCTTAATAAAAGACTTGCATTCAGCTCAGAAAAAAATTAGAATTTCTCTACAAAATACTGTATAAATGCCTGTTTGACAGCCTGCTAGGAGGTGGGTATTTGCTCCCTTATAGTCCCTCTGTTGAATGGCTCAGGGCTTTTCATTTTGTCTGACAAAATACTTAATGGAAAAAGGTTGGCACATTTTTGCCTCATCCTCCAGAAGAGGATCTATGTCCTTCACTGTACAGTAAGATTAGGAGAGAAGCTCCAAGTATGTTCCTCTCCTGAGCAGAGGGAGACCAGATGCACACATTCCCTAAACCCCTAATTTATATTTCCCATTTTTATTGTAATATTTTTATAATGTTTCATTTTGGGGAATGGGATTCATGCGGGAAACTTGAGTGCCACTGAATTCAAGAGATGCATTCAGAATCCTAGTCCTCCCTTGTGTTGAATTATAGACAAACTGAAGAATTTAACTGGAGAGACTCATTCTCTGTAGCCCAGAATTTTGAAGACTTTTTGGAGATGAACAGCTGAATTTTCAAATTCACTCTCCAGGAGGTCAGGTTGAGTTGTGATTCCTGGTCATTCATGCATGAATCCAGGGATGGTAGGAGAAGATTGAAACGCTGAAAAAGGAAAGGAAGGGAAGGAGAGGGTAAGCATCTCTTTTTTTTTTTTTTTTTTTTTTTTTTTTTTTCGGTAACCCATTAAATAAGGTTACTTCTTTTGTTTTGTTTGTATCCAAGTAGGTACTGAGCTGGCACTCTTTGCTTCTTGTCCTTTTGTCACTAATGACTAAATGATGGAGTTCTAAACAGGTATGTTTAACTTTAGCAAGCCATACAGGGGTTACTCTTAATCACTAGGTTAAATTAACTGGGCACATCCTGCTTTAATTCCTTAGCATTTGCCAAAAATCAAACCATTTTTAATGAAACAAAATCAATCCATTCAAAGTATTATTGTAATGTTTGTATCTTAGCTGCTCAGGAGAATTCCGTCTATAGAAAATGGTTTCTTCATGCTGCTCTGATGCAAACTTACTAGCTTCCAAATAAATTAGAACTCAGGCAATTCTATTCATTTCAGACCTTGTAGCATCATCTGCTTATCTGTCCTATCTGTTTAGCCCCTATCATTGCAGATAGGGATGTTGGGCAAACACTGAACGTGTTAGAATTTCTGCTCCTATCTTAGAGTGAATGTCTACATCCCAGCAATGGCAAATAAGAGCTGGCAGCAGGAGAGAATGAATACAAATGTTAATCTGGCAGTAGTTGATATAAATCAAAGTATAAATCTTACATCTGAGGTAGCTGTATATGAAAGATCTTTCATACAATTCTGTTAATAAATTCTATTTTTTAAAAAAGTCTGGCTTTTCTTTTTCTTTTTTTTTTTCCAAATCTGGAATGGAGAATGAGAACAAACAAAAATGTGTATTTATAGTTTTGTGGCAGTTCTAATTTTAATCCAAGCTCTTATCAGTCAGTTCTGTAATTATTTCTAATTGTTCAGAACTCACAGAGGTTATATTATAAACTGCACTCTGAAGACTGTTCTAAAAAACCAGAGTAATAGTAAGCTGCCAGAAGATCAAAATAAGCAAAATACTCATTTCCCATAAAATTTGCACTAGTTGCAAATAGGCATTACACACATTTATTCAATCAACTGATCATTTGTGCATACAAAAACCCAGTTTAATGAATACATGATGGAGAAATGTGGATTGTGCTTTCATGTTCGTATGAGTTACTGGTTGTGTATCTTTTACATAAACATGGCATCCTAGCTATCTGGTTTGTTAGGATTAAAGAGCAGGTATTGGACTTGATTCCATGCCTGGAATTATAAGATAGTTTCTTATGGTCATGCATATTTCCTAGCGCTCATTCAGTGGAAAAGATGAACATTGTAACAGCTTACATAGTTAGGACATAGTTAGTTACATAGTCAGAAACCTAACTGTGTGTGTGTTTGTTTTAAACGAAATGTAAAATAAAGGAAGCATAGTCAGCAACCCCAAACTCCGCCTTGGATGAATTAGACTTGCAAGTTTTCAGAGATTCTATACTTTATTTCTGGGTATAGCTGAAAGCCACATCAACCACGACAGTTTCTTTACAGTGCATTGTTAAGAACTGGTTACTCACAAGAAGGCTCGTTTAAACATCTTGGTTTGCAGGTTTTGCAGAACAAACAAACAAAGAAAAAACAACTCAAAAAGCCAGCCTGATTTGTGTGTCTCCATAAATATAGGGAAGATAAATTACTTTGACTCCTATCCATCCCTTCTTCTAGCTTATTATTTCTCTGTTATCAGAGTTAATTCCTTCTGTGTTTACAGAAAATCTATCATCAGGATTCAGACTTCTCATTTCTTCTGTTTTCCTAGCTCAGTAGGAGACCAATTCCCCCCTCCTCAGATTTCAGTACATCTTCTTCTCCATATGAATAAATCAGATTTTGTCAACTTTCCTTATTACTCTGCTCTGAGATACCTCTGCCCTGGTGTAATTTTACAATCAAAAGGCTTTTTTTGCGTGCACAGTTTTTGGAAAATCTACTGGTTAGAAAGAGCTAACAGTAAGCCTAAGACAAGTCATTCAGAAAGTAGTTCAACAGGAGGCTAAATACAGTTATATTGTTGTTTATTTTCTTGCAGGGTATATTAATCTCTAAAATGCTAGCTTGGCAGTCAGAAACTTGGGACTTCTGTTAGACTGAAGGAAACAACAATGCTTTCTTCATCTCTATGTTTGTGGCTCCAGGTCTTTTTCAGTTTTCATCTTGAGAGGCCATTAGAAAGCAAGATTCAAACATGTTTAACCTAGGTTTTTAGCAGCCTTGTGTAGCAATTGGACAGATCAATGCAATGGAAAAAGCATTACCACAAAGGTGTAATAACAAAAGAAGCAGTATGATAGAAAGGTGCTATAAAGAAAGGGAAAAAGATTGCTCACCTGTATCAGAAGATTCTAGGTTTACAAGGGAAAGTTCCATCAAAGAGGGATCTACAGGAATAACTATTCCCCAGTGGCAGTCAGCCCTTAAATTAAGTCTAAGAGAGGTGCAGCCAGGCTCCACCCCTTCTGGTCCCACAGCTGAATTGCTTTCACCTGTGCTCCCAGGGCTGATCAGGTCCTTTCCCCACATGCTTAATCAGCGGTTCAGGCCGTGACTCAACACTTCCCATACACCTTGTTAAAGCCACATTTCAAAGTAAATACATAATATGAAGCTTCTTTCAGATAGCAGGGATATATTTCTAATTTATGCTTGTATGAATGCCAGTAAGAGCATACGTTATATAGATGTTGCCTTTGTCTGAAACAGTTAGAATAATGCTTTCCTAGATTAATGAGAGGCGTTCAGGTTCTCAAGTTGTGTGGTTGTTAATCTTACAACTGGATGATTTCTTTCTGCAGAAGAACGCATTGTGTTGATTTCAGCAATAGCAAAAATCATGTTCTGAAAACTGCATACTGTAGAAACATATATAGAAACACAGATGGCTGGCTGATGGTTTGAGTTATGGAAACCACGTGATTCTTAAGATTCCTAGCATGTTTCATGCCTAAGATAGCATCCAGACTTAGATTGTGCTGTCTACATCACTGCAATGATGGCAGTGATCCCAAGCTGTAAGCAAACTTGTTTCTTGCATCTTCATTGCTCCTGGGAAGAACAAGTAGATCTGCTTATATATGAGAAGTTTTGAGCTTCTTTCCTTAACCTTTTTAATTGCCAGAGACTAGCTAATTAAAAACTTTCGAGGTTTGTCATCCTGAGACACTTAGAGACTGAGACTTTACAAGAGGGACATGAAGCAGGTGGACAGAACACAGGAATGTGGGGGATAGCAAAGTAATTTTAGAGTGTATAGCAAAACACAACTTCTTGCTTCATGCAGCTAATTTGGAAGTTAATCTCCTGAGAGCACCAGAGTGAAGAATATTGCACTTAACAAGTTAGCTGTTTTTCAGGAAATATACATAAGGTTCTGGTTACTGAGTATTTTGGCTCTTCTGTGCATACCTCAGACCTGTGTCTCTGAAGGAGAAGAACTGCGTCACGTTATTGATGAACTTGTATGTATCTCACTGCTGAAAGAAGGAGAATTAATCTTAAGGGTAGCTGCTGTGGATTTTCTTTTGCAGGTTTTGCAAACTATTAGAATACAGCCAGTATAAATCAAACACCTGCTGAGATAGTTGGCTGAAATCTGCAGAAATATCTACATCTTAGAAATTAAAATTTTCAACTGCAAAGTCTTAGTTATTCTTTTGTATGCATGTAATCATTTATATGTAGTTATATTAATAAGAGAGGGAGTATGTCCCAGTGTTACTCTAGTTATGTACTTTCTCCTGCTGTATAAACAGATCGCAACTGGTAACAAATTGTTCATTTTGGAGCACATGAAAGCAGAACATTAGCTATGCATTGAGATGTTGAAGTTATTGTAGAGGAAGTTGTTTTTTTTATTCAGTATTATTTATAAGCCATGTACTGATGTAAAGAGCTCTCTCTTCCTGTTATAATGTTATAGTTGTACACAATGTCAGAAGTATTTAGGATTTTTAGTAAGCAGGTAAAAACATTTAAGAATCTGTGCTGAAAGGAAGAGACATTCTGTTTAAGTATCACGAGAATCTCAAATTTAAGACAAGATTTGAATAGATTGCCCAATGGATCTGAATTGTTGCATCACGTACGAATGTCCAAGAGGCCATGAAATAGAAGGTGTAACAACATTTAAGATACACCAACCTTGCTTTGATAGGGCTGGAAAGAGGTAACAGCGCAACTTAATGTTGACCTTTAGGTAAAGCAGATACTAATGTTTGTATATTTACAACTGGTAAGTCCAGGGATGTTGCATATAGGCCAGGGGAAAAAAAAACAAAAGGCTGACAAAATAGACACTACATTTAATCAATACAGGGAAATGTCACTGTTTTTCTAGACTTAATCTGAGACATTCTTGTAGTATTACTCTTTCTCAAATGTAATCTATTAAAGAAGAAAGTTTCTTTTACGCAGATCAGAGGGCATTATGAAAGAAGTGGATGATGATTCCTGTTGAGTGGCAGCAGTGTTGTGATTCACCCTTTTCATGGGTGTAATTCCCTACATTTGTAATGGATTTTGAAAATTGGAACAGGTTTCTGTCAACAAACAAAATATTAATGAAATGTAGGGTTGCATAATATATTTTCTGCATAATGTAATCTTTTTTCCAAGAAAATGAAATGACCTCCTAAAACAAACCAAGCACTTGATTATTTTTGTGGGTCCTTTCCAACTCAGAATATTCTATGACTGTATGGTTCTGTGAAATTCTTGATAGTCTTATTTTGCTGTGAGTTAAAAAGTATTTGGGTAAGTGTATAGGCTTATTTATTTGAAGAGCCTATGCAGCTTTGATGCACAAGATAAAATTTCCTTAACTTTTCGTTATATGACTTCTCACCATGTCTGTTTCATTAACTGCAATCAGTTTTTCATGCTTCTGAGTAGGAAACATTTCAACATTTTTGAAAAGCATGCTGTGCACGAGCTGAGGAAACTCGAAAGTTCATCAGCACACACAATTAAATATTTTTCTGACCAATGACCTAGAAATTTTCACACTGATAGCAGAGAGATGCTTGACTACCCTACTCCAGCATTCAGAGAATCAACCAAATGCTCTTACACTGTGGATTCAATTCAGTATTTCTTTTGTTAATGCCTCATCCCCCATTTGATAGCACTAACTTTTTGTCCTCATTCTCACATTTTCCCACATCTAAGTCTGCAAGTAGGTATTAATATCAAGGCTTTTGGCAACAACATGGGGAAAACAACTGGATTTTATACAGTCAAGGTGAGAACAGTAAATAATAAAGCTCGTTCGTCCTATTTTCCATCAGTGGCGATGTCAGATAAATCTGATTAAAGACTCTTGGAAAACGTAACGCAGGTGATTTATTATATGCGTAGTTTTAGGTATAAGTGTAATCTTGAAACATGGTACCTCTATATATTCACTTGGTGATAGATACAGAGCAAAATAGCAGATGAATTACAGCAGCATGTAATGACAGCTACAGTATATCTCCCCAGCTGATTTCAGGTGATGAGTTGAAAAGTCAGTGTTGGCTGCATTGGGCAGATATGAGAATCATTTACTGCAAAGGATGATAGGACAGTCTGCAGTAAGAATTAAAATTGTAAAGCTTTGTCTGGTCATGCACTGGGGGAACAGGTTTAATTTGATTTCTTTTCTCTTGCCTGCCAACTGACTTTAGCACATGATAGTTTGTGAACATGAACTAGTAATAAATTCATTTGCCTACTCAGTGTCTCAGATACAAAGAGTAGCTAAAGATTTCTAAACTTTTCAAAGTATTGGAGAGTCATTTTAACAGTGTATGAGGACAAGTGTTTACTCTGTGTTGAAGAGAGTGGGCTAATAATGAAGGAACACTAAACTTTATTCCTTACAGATTTGATATTCTTACTGTTTTAAAAATACAGAATGCTTTCTGCCAGAAGATGGTTGTCCCTCAAGCTCTCCCTAAAAGCATAGCTGTTCCTGAGCTCTGTTGCATTTTGTTCTGATTGAGGACTCAAGTACTTTTATTCTGCTTGAAATTCACTGCACAGAACTATAACATGATAATGAGGGACTTGTAGAGGACCTGCAGGTGGGGCACAGGTGCCTAGTAGCAGGATGACACAATCTTTCATCTTTCCAGTCTCACATTCAACTTTATTTACCTTACTTATGGCTAAAAATTATTTTTTTTTATTTCTGCTAGAGACAAAAACGCTTTCCTAATGCTAACCTACCCTATGCTTTATTTAAAATTTCAAGATACATTTATATATATAATTGTTTGCTTAGATTTACACTGTGATTCTGCTTTAGTAATCGTGTCAGGATTATGAAATGCAGGGCAATTGAGAACAAACAAGCAGAAATGATTTAAAGGCTTACTTTTTAAAAGAGAGCTATTAAACAGGTTAGTCACAATCGTGACTCATTTCAGTTGTGAGTCATGCTTACTTTTTGTAGCTATACATTATCTGGCTTTCCTGTTTCTCCACACAGCTATGAGTAATGCTGAGTTAAGATGCATTACTGCTTTGGAGAATGCTTTTTCCCTACTTTGCAGGATGCCCTATCTGAATACATTTTTACATTTATAATGTCATTGTTTGGCCCATTCTTTCTACCACTGAGTTGCTGGCTGCATAAAATAAGTAATGAAATAAGAAGTATTAAGAAGCATTGGGTCGATGAGAGGGAGCAAGTAAGGGACCTCCCCCTCAGCCTGTGATTTGCACCATTTTTGTGGGGGTTAATTTGATATATTAATATTCATTTTGTCTTAAATGGGCCTGTTAGCAACCCACAGCAGCTGGGACAGGAGTTTTGGTATGGTTATAAAAGATATATATAGTTTGTAGGGAAGAGTTTGAACAGCTAGGGGGGGAGGCAAAAATTTGTCCTGAAATGGTGACTGGATTGTTAGCTTCATAACTGTTGAAGCTGGGTTTGGATATGGGATTCTTTTTTGGCTTTTTTTTCCCCCTTCTATATTTGTAGTGAGCATGCATCAACACAGCTGTAGTGTTAGGCATAATCCCAGAGTCTTTACAACTATCATTCCAGAAATAAAATTAGTATAATATGTATTGGCCAACTGTTTTTCAACTTGGTGGCTATCTAAAATTAGTCTGAAACTGTGTAGGTGCTTACACATGGGCTTGAGAGTCTGGGTTAGAAAATGTAGGCTGTAGTGCTTCAAGCATCAGGAAAGAGAGGAGTTACTGTAGCTCTGAATGCTTTTGAATATGCCTACATTTAGACTGCAATCTGCATTGCTGTGTTTTAAAAAGTACTGTCAGCACTTTTGTTAATATAAAGACCAGACTATATTTCCATGAACAACAACAAAAAAGATAATACAGTCATGGTCTCAAGAATAATTTATTACTTTTCTCACTGGCTCAGCTTTTGAAAATTTTCTAACGACTTTGATTCTCTCAAAAATGGATAGCTTACCTAGAAATGATGTTTCCTTCACGACTGATGTCTTGTTGATTGGTCCTGCATGATTGCTCGACGAAAATTATTACTAAAATTAGAATAAAAACATCTTATTTTCACTTCTCCACTGAATAATATAAAACCAAGGACAATGTTCTCTAGTTAATCAAAGAGGTCAGGGAACAAACAATTTGAATTGGAAAATGTGATGATGTCATGAAGAGCACTCAATGTGCTTTGCAACAAAGAATGCCTCAAAAGGGAAAAGCAATTTTCAGTGTCCTTTTGTAACAGAACTCTTGCAATAGATAACAAAATGGTAAAACTTCTGCTTTTGCAAATGACTTTTTCATGTGTTTCTGCTTCCTTTCAGCAGATCTTATGCAGGAAATATTTGAGTCACAAATAGGTTTTACAGAGGCCACATTCGTGCAAGAAGGGGTAATTTTTTCAGTATCATCAGTTGTTGTAAAGCTGCATAAGGTCACTGTAGAGAAAATAATTGCTTTAAAATACTTTTTCATCCCTAAAGTGCATTTTTAGCCTGGGATGTGAGTGTTCAAAAAAAAAAAAAAACTGAAAAAGAACATGAGGAAAGCATTTTACAACCCAAGCGCTGACTGCTGCCCACTGTGTGTGGGCAGTTCATAGACTTAATTGTGGAGACATCGGTGAGGTCATTAAGCAGAATGAAAAGATGGCTCTTGCAAAATCTGGTTAAGGTTTGTTTTTTTGGTCCTTGGAAGAGTGCATGCACTCAGGAATTGGAAAGAACTAACACCAGGTAAATCAAGGAGTAATGTAAGGAGCCTTGAGTGGTGACATGAGTGACAGATCTCCTGTGGACTGCCTATGTCAGAATTCAGATTGCAATAACAGGACAAAGTTCTGCTGCCTAACAAATGGAGACATCCCACACATTCCATGCATGAGGCATGTCTGCAAACATGCTTGAACTCATTGCTATCTCAGGATATTTTTTGCATGACAAAGGAGTCAAGCTCACAATATGAAAGCACACATTCTTAAGTAATGCGTGGTGTGTCAGGAGAACAGAAGCTGAGAGCACTGACAACGTGCAATTACAAGGATGCTTCCTTAGCTTTGTAACACAACTAGGTTCTGTTTTCTGTGTTTCAGAGCATGATACACATTAATCTATCTTTCTGAACAGCCATCACACATAAGAAAATACACTTAAGTAATGAAAAGGTAACTTTGAATATTGTGTGTAATGCATATCTGTGCCTTCTTTTACATTTTCTGTAAAGTTCTGGTTTTATTCCACAAAACTGAATATTATGTAAAAGGATTATCTTATTTAATTCCTGTGATTTTCTTTCCTGTCCTGACAGAAAGAGGCATTCTGCCTAGGGTGTACGTTCAGGTAAAAGATTTCCTGTCTTTCCTTTTATCTAAGGTGTATATGTGCTTAATGGGGAAAAAAAAGCGTGGAGTTGAACGCTTTCACAAACTTCTTAAGAGCAAACTTATCTGTGTTGGGGAGTGATGCATCACTCTTTCAGGAAGCTAAAATAGTAGGTGGTTGGACTGGGAGCCTGGATAGAAGTCAAATGAAAGAGGACTACTTGCTGTGAAAAGAAATTAAAACAGCAAGGTAGAAGCTGAGCAGGAGTTGCCCACTGACCGTGGCTAATGCTGACTGGCACATTCACTGCTTTTTGGTGAAATACCAGTGCAAGGGAATATGCCATAACTGATGAGGCTTTTCTGATGTCAATAATGGGGATATCAGGAAATTTAATGGTCTGAATCAGATGTTTTAAGTGTCATTGGCTGTACATTAGAACAAATAGATATCCAGACAGAACAACTTGGAAAGAAATAGTCATGCATTTTTTTTGTAGTAAAAATGAGAGCGAGCAACTGGATTTTCATAAGCCACTTCACAATTAGATAAGCTAATGCCCATAAGTAAAACAGCTTGGGAGGGCTCCAGAGGTGCCTGCGAGAAGTTGAGGCTATCTTGCTTTTAGACTTGTGACATGAGTGAGCTTAGGAAAGGCCACGTAAGTGAACACATTATATTAACTTTTGTCTTAATGACTGCAACAATCAAAATGAAAATGTGGTGAAATGGTGATAAAGGTGTAATAAAAAAAGGTATTACAAAGGGAAAGTACTTACCTGTCTCTAAAGGCATAGGCTCAGAGGGAAAACCCCACAAGGGAAGGGTCTCCAACCAAAGATCCTTCAGCAGTTTCAGTCAGCCCTTAAATGAGGTCTAACAGAGGTGCTGCCACACTCCACCCCTTCTGGTCACACAGCTGAATTGTCTTCACCTGTGCTCCCAGGGCTGAGCAGGAGCTCAATCAGTGGTTCAGGCCGTGACTCAGCAGTTACCATACAATGACATAATATATTCTGAGATTAATAAACGTTCATTAAAGAAATAAGAAAATTTATACCTTTAAAAAACAGATACTTACTCAAGTGAATGGGGTTAAAAAACTCCCCATGAGATCTTTTGGCTTGCTCCCTTTGTATTTTCTGTGCAAATGGAGATTCCTTATTACATGGAATACAGGAAGTAATGTTATTGCTAGATTTCAGACTTAAAATATGCAGTAATGTGAGGTAAAGCTGAATTAATAAATAAACATCCGAGTGTATTTGTATAGCAGTTTCGTTTCCAGGTGAGAAGTAGCTCTTGTTATTTATTATGCTACAAGAGCCTTAAGATACACGTTATATTTTGTAACTGCATTTATTGCTATTATTCTCTTTTTGAGTTTTAGTTATCGCCCCTACTGTCACGTGAACAGTAGCAGTTAATCAGAATTCTCTGAATATAATCAAAATTCATAAATAGAAAGTCAATTATGCTGAAGTTAAGTAGTATAAGTAGTATGGAATGGTGCAGTTTTACATTTCACATCTGTGATTAGTGTATATTTTAATACTTCAAAATCTGTCTGGACCAA